ATTTATTAAAGTGACGACGTTTACTTCTTATTCGTGCAAGAAAAAATGTATAACATATGTATATATATTCATTGATCAAATATATATTTTCTTTAATAACTCAACTAAAGTTATAAATACATATAAGATTCCTATGTATATATATATTAATTTATATACGTAAATATTAAAAATTAGTTAAAAATTTATTATGGGTGAATTCACAATTATTGTCACGAAAGAATTTATTTAGACAAATACGTTTCTCAACCAATGGGAAAATATCTTCTTTATAATCTCAAGTGTCTGTGATTGGTTGTTCTAACAAATTTCATGTATTTCCCGCTTTGCAGAATGCTATAGAAGCGTAATGGAACATTTGACGAATATAAATAATGTATTGTGCATTTTTCAGTTTTTCTCAAAATTTATTAGAGTTCTATGTAAGTTTTCTTGATACGATTGAAACAGTTTTGTCATTGATTAAAAATGTGCCTTAGAAAAATGTTAGATATATTATGAAACTTTTGTGTCGAAAAATTTACTTTATTCTTTGTGAATATGTACGTAGTCATCAAAGATTTTTAGTGAGGTGTAGTGAAATTCATTATAATATTGAGTGCTAATAACGAGAGACTAAAATACATTTAATTTGTATTATATTGTTTGTTAAAGAAATGAGCGGTTATCGTGAACGTAAAATCAGCGTTAATGTCATAAAAATTTAAGGTTAGATACGCGTCATAAATTACATATTGTATTTTTTTAGTATGTTACTTCGTTTATATAAAAGTGTTATCAAAAGTAAATCAACGAAAGCAGAAAGAATCCACACGCAGGTACCTCAAGGACACTCTTCTTCAACATTTTAACAGTGTGCATCGCTCAGTGTATACATTACATACATCCTCCTAAAATCTACGTGATATGTTTCTATTTTGGTTACCGCAAAATATATAAACATGTTAGTATAAATAAATCAGTAGAATTTAATGCTTTCGATGATGCATAATCATCTTTAAAAAAAAAGAAAATATAAACAAATTTATATTTATTTAATGTATTATAGGGCAGATCGAGATTATGATATGGGTTCAGCTACAGAAATGATGGTAAATGATTTTGATGATGAACGGACTTTAGACGAAGAAGAAGCTTTAGAAGGTAGTGAAGATTCTCACAACGAGTTGTCCAACTTACAAAAGGTATAATTCTGAGGTGACTGAACTAAATATTTAACATATGCGATGTTCATTTTGTAACAAGATTCTGATCCCAACTATTCTAGGATCAAGCCTGTGAAATGAAAAAATCAAGCCCATAAATAATTACAATTATGATAAGTTTCTACAACACTTTGGACTCAAAGTGCGTTCTCGTAGTGAGATTCGTATGTTTAGTCGGTTTGTTATATGTGGCATGGTAATCATTCGTGTTCTTGTCTTCTTTCAGGAAGGTGATATGCCACTAAAAGACCTACTTGCGATGTATGGATACGGGGATCCGTCAACCGAAAATTCAAACAGTTCAGACCGAATGTTAATCGCATCTGGAAGCGGTGATCCAGAAATTGAAGGACAATATTCAGATAAGGGGGATAATGACGCCGATGATGATGAAGATGATGATGAAGCAGATGCAACTAGTAACGAGCCAGATCTCAAGCAATTTTATACAGAAATGTTGGTAAAAGGGAAAGATTCTACATCGTTGGTGCCAGGGTCAACAATGAAAGGAAGCAATGTCAGTAGTGTAGGTACTGGAGACAGTAGCAGACGACACAGAATCCATGATGATGATGAAGATGATGAAGAAGGTGAAGGTGAAGAATGTTCTATGATCGATGGTTGTAGTAACAATGATAATACAAGGACAACTTCAACAATGGGTGGCTCTAGTACCACTAAGTGTAGTGGTATAACCGCACTTACTAGCTGTACAACAAACGATAATACGGGTCGTGGAGTAGAAGGTAGTGTTAGCAGTGGTATGGTAGATGGAGGAGAAGATGGAATAGTTAGCGGTGGTATAGGTAGCGGTACATCTAGATTACTTCGAAGCGTTTCACGACCACAAAGCGAAGAAGAAGAAGATGATTGTGATTATAGTCCAGATGAAGAAGAATGGAAAAAGACAATCATGGTTGGTATTAATTACCAAGCGGCTATACCGGAAGGTCTTTGTCATTATGATGATGCTTTACCTTACGAAAATGAGGACAAAATGTTATGGGACCCCAGTCATATACCCGAAGAGGAAACTGAAGAGTTCTTAGAACGGGCGCAACTACCAGCTGTAAAAGGTGGTTCTTTGCCTACAGGATCTCATATAAGAGATGATGAGCAGGCTTTATATCTATTATTGCAATGTGGCTACAATCTTGAAGAGGCATTAAGAAGACGAAGAATGAATGTCGTACCGCCAACGGATGCAGTCAGCCTTTGGTCGGAAGAAGAGTGTCATAATTTTGAATCTGGACTACGAAGTTATGGAAAAGATTTCCATCTTATACAGAAGAACAAGGTATGCATCATGTACAACCTCGAACTACTTCGCGGTAGCAAGAAACAATTGTACGTAACATAAGGGTCATCGTAACAGGTTAGAACGCGATCTGTTGGCGAATTGGTGCAATTTTATTACCTTTGGAAGAAAACGGAACGGCACGATATATTTACATACAAGGCTCGTTTAGAAAAGAAGAAGTATGCTTTACATCCTGGTATCACGTGAGTATTTTCTCTGTCTTATAACTAGAGTATTAATTTAAAAATATATAAAAAAGAAAACAGTTTACGAATTTAAATTACTGCGTTAATTACAATCTGTATTTATCCTTTTTTTTCCATTAAATAAATTTGCATTAAATTAAATTTCAATCAAATCATATAGTTTCTGTTATTACATTTTTTTATGTTACGATTGAAAACTTGAAGTATGACAAGATCGTTGAATCGTAAGCAGGGACTATATGGACCGATTTCTGGAAGAACAAGAGGGTGTTCGCGATCGTAGCAGCTCACCGAATGTTCATTGCTTATTATATGGTGACGCTAAACGGCAAAGGTCAACCGTTAGTGCCCCAAATAATGATGAAGCAAAATCAGCGGAACCGTGGGATGGTATTGCAGTTGATCCCTTAGCAGATTTGAATGGACCAACGCCAGCACCACCGCCACCCCCACCTCCACCTCCACCACCACCAGTACCAACCGCTGTGACTGTATCACCTTCAGGTTCTGTTTCAACTACATTGACAACATCTATATATTGTACCACATCAACTCGTCATTCCGATTGTTCACCGTCCGACTCTAGCTACACTAATCCACATATGTGGTCAAATATGACATCTCGAAGTCACTCTACCTCTTGTATCGTAACAACGATTACAATAAATACGACAACAACTAGTACTGTTCCGATAGTTACGGCTGTTGGAATCACAAGCACAGTTACAAGCAGTTCTACCGTCACTTCTGCCGCCTCTAACAATTTTTATCATTCACGAGTGACATCGAGGAGCATAGATGTACACGATTCACCGTCACCAGAGAACATTTTACCTCATTTACCCCCTTAGCGTCAAACACGACTTTCAGGTTTTCAGCCTGGAAGACATCAAATGTCTTGGCGTGATGTGATTTATTTAGCACTCGCGTTAATATTATCGTCGTAATATGTAATATTCGTTAATATCACGAATTATATTTTTATACTGTATCGTAATATAACTATCGATCGCTATAGCGGAAACAGAATAAAAAAAAAAAGAAAGTTTTTCGCAAAAGTAAGATAAAATAATAGCAAAGTAAGTAAAACCGGAAAGATAATTGAATGGGGTAAGTGGCACGTGGACGTGAATTACTACTGCTTTTTCCACTTTCTGCTTTCTACTTTCCGATAACTATTATTGTTCCCGTAGATGAATTTTACGAAGAAATATGAGTTTAAAGTGTCAAAATAATTCGCATTTCCAGATTTATAAGTAATTAAGTGTTATCAAAATGAATAAATGATAAATTACAATTGCAGAATTGTAGCGATGAGCGCAAATTTATAAGGAATACCATTGTTCTAAGTACATGTCTAATTCCTGATATTACTAAGTGTACAAAAATGCGCTCTATAAATCTGATAAAGAACAAGATCTCGGTAATATTCAGAAATGGTTAAATTAAATGAAATTCGATAAAAATGTATTTATTTCTTTTTTCTATATTTTCATCAAGGATACACAACATATTGGATGACCTTAAAAAACTTTTGTTCATCGCTTACATATTTTGTCCATACAAAAAAATATTGAAGTTGTTTGTGTATCCTTGTACCTAATTTCTTTATCCTTTGCACGCACTGAAAACGTGAGATTATAATAAAAATCATAATTTTATTATAAATTTTAAAGTATATCATAAATAATTCAATTTTCACTTATTTGCACAGTGTTCAATGTTTCTGCCTTTCCTTTATTTTTTTTTTTTTATTTTTTCTTTTTTTTTTTAATTAAAGCCCATAGGTTTATCATAATTTGGTACTGTTATCGATACTGTGTCAGGTCTAAAGATTCTACAACGGTTTTTAGTAACTTCCTCATCAAAGGTAAAAATTGTATACTACTAACATCGGTTAGGAATTTTCCTGTGGTGAACATATTATTCTCTTCAAATTCCATTCTCCGTACTTCCTTTAATCTAGCCGGCAAAATAGTTTGATTGAAATCAACAGGTTGCTGAATAATTCTCACCCTTCTAGCATCAGAATTAATTAACGATCCTTTAACTTGCCAGTCGTCGGGAGTACCTCGATGTTCAAGAAAATCGAAGAAAACTCCTAATTCGGTCACTGTTTCGCGCGCTATTAGTTGACGATCTCTAAGAGCGATCCTTGGATTTCTGACTCCTTCTAAGGCTTGACACAAAATTAAGACGAGATTGACTTCAAGGGCGAATCTTGTGTTGTTTTCGTCCATAGATTCGAACCACGGGTCGCTAAATTTTTGATATTTTGCTACAACAGGACTATCATTGTTTCCGGCTGATACACCTTTTGTTACGTGCCTACCACTTGTCAAGGCTGTGGCTCTTGACAAAATTGTATTTTCACAAATAAGAGGATCATAAGGTCTTCGCACGAGTCTCGGACTACTTAATAACGGTACAGTTACATCTAGGCCATTGACATACACCAAAAATTCACTTCCTACGTTCGAAGATCTCGAAGTGGAACCGGATGCTGCATGAATAATTCGCCTTAGATCTTTACTCGAATGCATCTGTCGATCCTCTGGTGCAGCGTGCTCCCATTCATTCTTAGCAGAATCTGTTTTATCCGATTGACCACTAAAAGAAACGGTCGTAGCAGTCACGGGTTGAGACCGTGAATGTAGTGCCTGTGTAAACAACTGTGTTGAACTAATGATTGTGCCGTAGGTTAATCGTGGTCCAGAACTCATGCTCATCTGTGGCGGTCCAAAATTCATTTCAGCCATTGGAGTATACCAGAAGTCTTGTGTATATATAGTGTCCACAAGAGTATTTAGTCTCGGGGAAAAGTGAACAAAACTTAACGCACAGGTTGTATTTATGACGATCAATTTGTTAACTAGTAACTTTAATTCACCACTTGGCGATCTCTTATCGCAAGATTCCAATTCTTCGGCACTTTCCATGCTAATGCCGTCGATGATGAACTTAAGAATTCGTGGTCTTAATAATAGATTTACCGTATTATCATATGCCAAATACATACATTTTATCAAGGTTTCGCAAACATTTGGTTGTATCGAACTCCAAACGTATGGTTGGGTTGCTACGATATGAATGAGAGCAACGAGAGATTGTACCAAGTCGGCAGCGTAAAGGTCTGCCGTATGTCTTAATAAGGTTGACGCAACCATTAATTGATACTCGTGAGAATTTAGAAATATTATAATAGATTTGATGTAAACAGTAGGTGTTTCACTAGTGACTAGTCCTATTAAAAATTCAAGACCAAGCGTATAAAGTGGCCACCAATCTTGGCATCGCCATTTTCCATTTGGGCAATCGTCATATAAAGAGTCTAACATACTGTTTCCAATGTCGCTAGGTGGAATTAAGCTCAACCATAATTTCGCAATATGATTTTCATTGATTGGTTGCAAAGTGTATGGCAAACGAATGATTAAATTAAGCAAGTTGAGAGCAGCGGTACTAAATCTTAAATATGGATATTTTTGCAGAGTGATACCAATACATGTCATTAATTCCGGTATCATTTGTCGCAGTTGTATGCAACTAGATCTTCGCTGATGCTTCAAGATAGAACTTCGTTCTACGTAAGAGCGTAATAGTTGAGTAACCATGCAAACAGCCAAAGTTGCTGGTAAACTTTCCCGAATTCCCCGAACGGTTTCTGCATTTCTTTCATCAGCATTTTTTTGCGCAATTACGCTGTCAATCGTAACTGTTTTATCGCTCACTTTCCGTTCCACCGAATGTTGCTGTTGTTTCCGTTTTTCCAATTGAATAGCAGCCTCCTTTAATTCCTCTAATTCGCTCGCAACGATGATACAGGCATGCGACAGAAGATATTCGAGACTTGTTGGATCTTCGCGTAATGTGCTTTTTACGCATTGCACACATCCAAGAAGCAAAGAAATCAGTGTCTGGCGCAAAGATTTTCCATAACTGCGATAAGCTTGGCCAATTTCTTGCATTAGTTGTGTTAATCCCGATTTAAAAAGTTTTGAGTCATCGACACACATTTGCTTCCAAGAAGTGATACATCGAAGTGATAAAGAGGCCAACAACATTGTGATTTTTCGGCTAGAAACATCATAAAATTGTTTGACTCGTTCAAGTAATATCTCTAACGAACGTTGTGTTATGAATTGTGCTTGAGACACATTAATATGATAATTCGTTGCTATTCTGTCGTCAGTTAATGTGACGATAAAGTTATACCAGGATTCTAAATTAGTTTCATACAATGAAACTGTAACATTAGCATCTCGCTTTTGGTAATTGTTTGATTCTTCGCTATCGACGCATACGTCATCGAGTACGTATATTGCCAATTTCTTCCAGTAATCTTTCGATTTATCCAAAAGTTTTGTTAAATTTGTAGTAAAATCATCTTCTAACGTGGTACTCTTGAACAGTTCCAAAGTAATTATATCTAGCAAATGAGAATAACCTTTCGCACCTGGTACTATCTCTCTGAAAAGTGGAGCAAAAAGTTGAGTCCAGAAGTTTTCCCGTTTCCGAAAGAAATTTACGAGAATTTCATTTCTGTGGTACCACATTGCTCGTAATAACGCCATTGTGCTATTATACAATTTGTCGCACACGATATCGTCTTTTTCATAAATTCGATTTAGATATTTAACTAGAAATTGTCTGCATCCTTCTGTGAAAAATTCTTCCACCGATCGAGGAAAAATTCGTTTGCATTCTGCTGGATGTACAATGTTGAAAAGAGCTTCTGTCAGACCAGGTTGCTTTTCTAAGCACACAGTAACTAGTTCCAGAATGGCGACTTTAACATCCACGACACAAGTTGGTGACATGAGACCTCTGCGAGAAGCGAAGGTTTCTCGTATAGATGTACCGTCCATACCCATGCAAACCAAAAGCGACATAGATGACCCTTCGGCAAATTTCTTTAACAGCCTAACAGCCATGGCTTGTAGAGGTGGACTGAACCAAACATACAGATAATTTACAATCGTAGGCACTATTAAAAGACCATTTGGTACACGAGGCGAAGAATATAAAGCAGTTTCCAATGGTGACCTACTTCCTATTTCTAAACCCAGTGATTTTCGGAATATTAATAATCTATTTACTACAGATAAGGCCAATTGTACACTTTTGATTGCTTTGAATCCTTTTCCGCGAATCCAATCTGTTTCTGCCATCATTTTGTTATGTAAAGTACGTTCACCAGTACGAATTAGCTTAAGTAAAGCATGCCGTGGTTCTAAATACAATAAACTGTATGCAACAACAAGCTGTAATTCACTTCGTATATCTTCTTTAGGTAAACTGGATTCAAGCGCTCTGTGGAGGCAAAACATACTTTTTAACCACAGGTCGGTTCTTTCCGCATCTGATTCGAAATACCAGGAATCCAATTTTGGTAAAACACCTTGCAGTAAGAATACCATACCAGGTATTTCAACCGTATATAGAGCTTCCTCGTTGTATTTTCTGATTAAGTATTTCGATAAAATATCTAAGTATGTGTTTAAAATTGGATACGAATGAGCGATTGTTTCTATAGCGGATAGCCATGATGCGATTATACCACCATCAAACGAAACTGCTTCTGCAAAATCTAACGTCTTTTGATACCGATTATTAAATCTTGGATAAACGCCAGCACGCATTCGCGACAAAATTTCTTCGGGATACTCTAATATGAGTTCGGATGAGATACTAATACAAGCTACGACTATCTTATATATGTACATCTTTTCTTCGGGTAATACTGGATAAGAAAATCTATTTATAATTTCAAAACTTAATTCCGTTGGAATGACCATACTTTGTCGTATTCCTATGTGTTTGGCTAATGTTTTCAATAATTTTAAGCCTTGTGAAACGTGTTCAGGCAAATTTTTATTCATTTCATTGGTCTTCGTAATTCCACCACCTGCTTGAGAAAAAAGTTGTTCTATTTTATGATGTAAGGCGTCCCAATAGCTTGCTTTTTGTCGAAATATCATTATTTCACGTTCACTTGACAATATACGTATATTTTCACGGAAACAGTCTTCCGATATCATATACGAGTTCTTATGAATTGTACATTCTTGCTCGTATGGTTTTAACGGTTTATTATGATCCCGTTGCCGTGGTATCTCCAATGTTAATGACTGAAGATTATCCAGCTCTATTGCAATTTTTTCGGCACTAAATACCGAAGCGCTTGCCAATCCGATTGCAATATTTGTTAACGGTACAAATTCATACGGAAACTGTTCGGCTGCGAATTTATAAATCAACCATAAGCCGTCATTGCGTTCTTCCCAAAATCGTACTGCAATTTCAGGAAACTGAACTATAGTAGCAACGGCATCAAAGATATCATTTAGAGCGCTTAATTTATCTTCATCAACGAAAGCACACACTAAAGTAAGAAGATTATATGCGCTGCTCCGTACAACTTCGGCGTAATGCGTGTTTTCACAAATTATTTCACTATTCATCAAATCTTGCAAGTAATGGAAAACATTTAATTGTATGGCTTTGACACCAAATGGCCTAAATCGGTTCAAGATATCAATATTTTCGGGGTCGATAGCATAGTTTGCTAACATCCAAGATAAAAATAGTAGACTATCTTGTGGTGAATTATCGCGAATGCATTTTTGTTCAAAAGTTTCTTGCATACTGTTTCTTACACTGCATATCCAATCTTCTATATTGGCACTATGAAGAAGACATATTTTTACAATTAATATTATAATTATTTCTAAATTGTAACATAAAGAACATACTGTTTTCTGACATCTAACGTTACTAAAAAGAGAGCTGCTTGACTCTGCTGTATTTCCTTAATTTTTCTGGCAATTGCCTTTTTATCTTCGTGACTTTTTGTACTCGCTAACCGTCTTGGTTCTCCCTATAAGTAAAAAATTATTAAACATCATCGATTATCAATGATAGGTTGCATTATGATTTATGAAGTTTACATAACGTACTTACTCCAATGCTTTCATAAAATTTCATAAACTCAGTATCAGCAATGTGTATGTCATGAATAATAACTGTTAATATGTGAAGTAATTCTCGCATTTCGATTAGACTACTGTTATATAATTTATGTAGATATTCTTCTGTACACAATTGTGATCTTGTCGGTGCATTTACAGTTTTTAACATTTCTATTTGTTTTCGAATCGATTCTAGTAGCGTTCCAAACAGTATATCATCGAAAAATTTTAAGAATTCTTTTCGGTAACGATGTCCTTTATCTTTATATTCGACCATAAGTTTAAGACACTTTATCAACGTCATTCTTTCGGAATAATAAAATTCCCAAATATCATCGATCAACGCTTTCATCGATGTAAAATCTATAAGTTGCGACGCGAAAGTTTCCGCGCAATTTCGATATTCATATTTTATAAAATTACATACTAGATCCCAAGTAATTGTAGCGTCTAAATTCTAAAAGAAGCAATAAATTTATTATATTTTCAGATCGATTAAAGAAAGAAAAATGCGTAAAATTTATTTGTAATACGTACAAGAAGTGGGGCAAGTTTACTAATTAAATCGTACATTCGAGGAGATGGATCATTTTTAGGTATATTTTGAAGCGATGCTTCTGTATATGGTTTAAAAAATAATAGTCCCTCTTTAAGAAGTTTAGTTTCCTTTTTAATTTCATCTTCCACTAGTTGTTTCTCGCATCGACACACCGTATCCGATATTAGAAACCACAACTCCTTACAATAACTGCGTTGTTATCCCACGTTGTATGAATGAAGCGACAATCGCGATACGAGAGAAATAATTTTTTTAAGAAGTAATAAAAACAGTATTAATTTAAAATAGACTTAACAATTTAGAAGTATTTTAGTCAATTAAATATAATATGAAATGTTATTTACTTACGGCAAATTTTCTATAGTGGGTACCTGCATGTTTAATGTACCAGCTTGTGTAAAGCATATGAAATGTATGGTAAATATTTCACGAAATGGTTAAAACATATAGAATTCAACTATGTACACCATTTAAATATTACATCGCTAGCTCATACATGATCGTTTAAGATTAATATCATAAACAACGACCGAGACATAACCTCGATTGGTACAAACCTAACACGCATATCAATATGCGAGCGGCGGTTTCCTTTAATTGGTCGATGACTATGCGTGGTTAAAAGTGGGAATAAACTAGGGACCCTAGTGTAGTTTACGTTGGTCGTACTGGTGTAACTTTCCCGCCAACAATTTGGCGCGCAATTTATAATTTTTCTTTGGTAGAATGGAAGACACTTTCAGGAGATTTAGAATTTTTTACAGAAATGTAACTCGTAAGAAAGAAATATATCCGATATACAGATGCTTCTTATTTTATCTAAAAGTTTAACGCGGATAGACGAGTAAATTGAAATAGTCGCGAAGAAAATGTGGAATAAGAAAGATCGCATGACCATGATAAATGTTACACACGAACTTTACGCGATATTTTTCCATATAACGTTATAAGTATGCATAGAATTTAAATCGATATAATATTTCTATTCCATACTATGAATAATAATCGTACGAGCAAGTCTTTTTTCATAGGATCCTAGGATATGTCGGTGTCTCATAGGTTTTAAGAGGAAAAATTAGATTGGTAGCAAGTATAAAAGAAAAATGACTGCGAAGGAAAGAGGGTAGGAAGAAAAGAGCATCGTTGTTGAGACCGATGTCGGATACATTTGTTACACAGTAGCTGTAACTACTCCCTATAGGTATAAGAACGTTGGTAACTGGCTAGCTTATCCGCTGGATACTGGTCGATGGCAAGCAGACCATAGACTTTTTTCTTTTTACGCAAGCTGGTTATCCATCAAAAGAAGCTGGTAATCTCGTTCTCGCGCAGGTAACTTCTTCGAGACAATGAACCGATACGTGTAACGTTGGCGGTAAACAACGAATCTGGAATTCCGTTAGCGTTTTAACGGAAAAACGATTTACATGAGAATAAAGCGAACGCGTGGGCGTCCAGAACAGTCGTTACAGAAGAAGCGAGATGGTTTCGATATAACAGTATAGTAGGTAAAGAAATGGTTCGGAAGGAAAGGAGCGACAGCGGCGTCAGAGCGCCGACGCGAGGCGTCGAAGCGGCCGACGTCGCGTCGTAGACGCCGATTGTTCGCCAGTGCACGTTCGTCTTGAACACCGAGCGTATCGAGTGTATTCGTTACCGACGCGAGAAAACACTTTGTTCGGTTGTGTACGATGTTGTTGCCAGCGTGAGTGCATCAACGGAGAAAATCACACGTTTCACGGGGTTACTATGCGATCCGCTACGCATCATTCTCGTAAATATTTTTCTTCTAACGGAAAATCGATTCTCTCTTTCGAGTCGATCAAGCCCGTGACACGCGTCTTCGCGATCCGCTTCTTCCACGTCCGATTTGCCCTTTGCCCGAATTTCGCGAATCTCGCTCGACTGCTAACGAGCCGGAGCACAGCGTAGATACATCCGATTACTGGCTGTATCGTTTGTCCGTGTTACGCATCTTCGGAGCTTCCCTTTTTCCGAAATTCCAATCGGTTATCTCGGAATTTTGGCCTGACGGCAAGCGCGAAGAACGATATACCGATACCGATACCGATCGTTAAGCAGCTCTCGAGGTTCGCCCCGTAGTCGACCGTGCGATGTTGACGCGATAGTCGAGATGTTGGAAAGAGGATCTCGCGAAGAGGTAAAGCGTCGAATCATCGGGGAACGCAACAACAACGAACAGGTTCGGACGGCAGCAAACAACTCGGCGAATATTTCATCTCGAGCTGCTTCTAGCCGTGTGTTTCCATGTGTGTTTCCATAATGTATGTACGTCGCGATTCTTGTTACCGTGGATGTATCCGTCGGGAAATGCAGCCTCGGAAACGCATAGTATTCTCTGACGCGTAGGTAGAACACGGTACGCGTTAAAAGTATTTTCGCGTTTAATACGGCTTCCCGAAATTCGAACGTGTTGCATCGTGTGTATGCGGCACTGCGGTTCTTCCTTACGCTCCCGGCCTACCCTTTCGCTACCGTAATTTAACCGTGCGATCGCGACGAGACGAGACCTCGCAAACGCGAGCTCGAATCACGGCAATTTCCAAGTAATTTCATGCCTGCTCGTTGCACCCTCGATTCCACCGATTCCACCGACTCCGGTGTTCACTAACGCTGCTCGAGATCATCACGTTCTCGCTGTCCTTTCCTTCGCTTCTCGCGGTTCTATACCTGGCCGACAAACGACAACGGCATTGCGCTTCTTTTCCCTCGTTTCCTTCCGTTTAAATTCGTTCAAATCTCGCTTCTGTATACTCGCGAGGAGTCGTTGGAAATTCCGCGAATTAACTCACGTCGAACGGTCCCGAAGGGTGACGGAGATATTTGCCAAGTTGGGAGTCGCGCGCGAAACACGCGGATATTCGGTAGTCCCCCTAATTCATTCGGTTCCATTGATCGCGCGTTCGTCACTGGAATCACGAGGCCGGTTCGCGGCTAAGCGGTACCTCCGCCAACCTATCGAACCAACTTGATCTCGCGAGGGAGCCGTGTTTGGTTAACGGCAGCGTTAGAATCGGTAATCAAGGAATCGGGGGTTAGGTACTCGTGCAACGCGACGGTATTTGGTCGGTGGCGCGCGAGGCAACGATAGAACATGTGTCTAGGTGGGCGGTTGGCGAACCGGAGCTGAGATGCACGTTGCGACGAATCGTTTCGCGATGAACTGAATTCGCGATTCGAGGGACGACGTGTTTTCGGGTCGACGAGTCCGTGATCGCGCGCGCGGCCGCTAGGACAGTCGGACGAGATAAAGAACGGAGAAGAAAGCGGCGGAGGAGCGAAAAATGAGGGCCACGTTGCTGTTGCTGGGGGGCATCGTGGTATTCTCGGTCGCGGTCGCGAGAGCTCTCTCCTGCGTGTGTTCGCCCTTCGAGTGTGACATTCTCACCGACGAGGATTGCCCTGGAGGCCTCACCTGGGATCCCTGCAGGTACGTCTTACTTCTCACCGTTTTCGCTATCTCCGAATTTCCGGAAAGAAAGGTCTGTTATATAGAAAGGTGGCAAGCCAGCCCGAACACTCGATGCATTCGAAGCATTTCGAAGCATCGGGTAGAGATCGCTGCAATGGCGCAGGGTGCCGCGTGCGATATTCCTAGCCACTCGAGCAAAGATATCCAACAACAACAACTATCGCGTACTTGGCGCACTTCTAACCGTGGTCCAGAATCCTTACCGTCCAAGGTTTCTCTGTCAATTAGCCTCCGCCAAGATTCTCGAACGTAGAAACTTCGATGCTTGACCGATTTAACGATCGCGCAGTATCACGGCGGAGGTTATCGTACGATAATAACGTTTCAACCACGAATCTTTCCTCGGTCAACTCTCGTTTCAACACTTTGCGTCGATCTTTCGTTTCTCCAACTTTGCCTCTTTCGAGGTTTCAAAGTTGCCGCGTGTACGAGCACCACGGTCTCAGTTCCGTCGGCTCCATCGACCGACACCGTCGTTCGCCATTCTTCCGCGAAACTTTTGTCTCTCGGCTTAATTTCTCTTTCAAAGGTGCCTTCTCTTCGCATCGCGTTATCGATGTCGTCTCTCTGATAATTTTTCTTTCCATCCTCGCGATTCGCGTATTCCCCTTACGTACAAAGATAGACAGGACAGGGGACACGTTACGGGCTTGGTTGATCACTCGCGTCGGTGAAAAATCGATATTCGACTCTTTTCCGCTTCCCCTGTATAAACAACATTCGACATTTTCTCACGTCTGTCGTATTCCTATCGATAGATCTCGCGTGCGCAATTAAAATCTGTAGTAGAGCGGAGGTTCCGGGTCTTTTTTCAACGGGGAGCAAAAAACTCTGCTCTTTGTTGTGCAGCGTTCTTTGTTAGGTGAATTTTATTCCGGTATTAGCGGTGCACTGATGAAAAATAGGGTTTGATAAAACGAAGCCTGAATATTCAAACTAGGAGCGAACAAAAGCGCGTCAGTCATTGCAATTTTATGCCGTTTTTCGTTCGCACGTTCGATCGACCAATGCATTCACCGTTTTTCCTTCATAACACCTTTTTCTTCCGACCTATCCGATAGACCGTTAAATCGATTTACCGCGAAATTTCGTGGCAAAGTGAGGAGAAGGAGAAACGAATTTAGATGTCGCGACTCTTCCGCAGCCTGTCATCGGAATTTTTCATTTTTACCTTTCCACGCGTAAGCGTTTCGCATCGGGTTAACGATGCATCCATCGTTCGCCGTATCGAAAATAACTCGGGAAATTGAATCCAGGAGATCTTATCCGTTGCCACCTGTAAGGTCGTTTTGAATTCGATACGCGTAGCTAACGTTTATCACGGCAAAGAATTCTCTGCGAGTCGTTTGGATAGAGGGAAAGAAGGGTAACGTGTGGGTAAACGAATTATTCCAACGAAGGGTTCCCCGCTCGTAGATTTCGCATAGGGTAAACGTTTCACGACCCTCGACTTTCTTCCGAAAGCGAAATCAACCCAGTCGCGTAATCAGCCACATCATATTCCTAGGTCCTTGTCCTACTTTGCGTCAATGACGATCCACGGATACGACGGACCGTTTTACTCGATTAATCGGTCGTCCAATTTACAAATACACACGCCCGTATATACGTATGTACGCGCTCACACGCGTCGCCCAAAGTCTATTAAGAAATTACTCGACGAAACATCGACCCGTTGTTCGAGGTGGTAAGAGGTTGGCAGCGTTCAGCTTACGATGGGTCTGTCTTCGCGTTAGCACCGATGACGAGTTCCCTGGATCTTGAGTTCGCGTGCTGGCTCCAACAGTTTAACTACTTCCGTGCGATGCAACGGACACTTTAATCGTAGCTCCTCTAACGGCCTTTACGGAATCGCGGAAACTAAGCTTCGAACGTAAACGGTACACCGGTGTACGCGTTCTCTTCTTTTTTCCCAGTCTTCCCGAGTTCCGATCCGAAGAAGCCCCTTCTCCGCGATACGACGTATTACACCCGCGTATTATCCTAACGAACACGCGAGTTGCCTACCTTCTTCTTTCCCGTTTGCTCTCCCGTTTGCACGCAGCATACCTGCAAAGTATTTTATCGTTCTTTTAACTGAAAAATGTTTCGCGTTACACCGACTGGAAGCCGCCGCGTACACACTTGCCACTTTCCTTCGCGAAATGGAATTACGCGAAAAGGATACCGAAGATCTTTAGCGTATTATAGCTTCTAAGAATATTTTTCATCAAGTCTTCGCGTCGTTGTAGTAAATGTTTCGTTACGAGTTATATACACCGAATGTAGACGAACCTTCTTTCGCATTATTCCATTTACAAAACGCGCGATCGCGAGGGAAAATTGTTTCGCAGAGAGGACGAGAGAAGCGAGATATAGAAGGATTGATTGCGCTCGATCCAACAACGAGACGAAGTAATAAAATTACGCCTCGTAGTCGGAAATTTCCTGCGCGAGACCTGTTCTTTTCCATTATTTTTTCTCTTTCGTTCCTTTCACGCTTCCCTCCGCTCTCTCCCTCTCTCCCTCTCTCTCTTTCTCTCTCTTCTTTACTTTGTGCACTTCCTGTCTTTCCAACTCGGTTTCACGACTTTCATAACGTAAACGTTATCATTGGACGATCGGTATAAAACGAGCTGGAATTCGGTTCCGAAGAAACGACGAATAAGAGATACAGGCAAGGGAAAATCGATTCGTTTCAATTACCGTTCGGCGAATTCGCGGGATCCTTTGGCGTTATTTCCATTACGTCGTTGCTAAAGTGTAACGGAACGGACGAGCGGCAGGGAAGAGGAGGGTTCTTTATTTTATTCATGCATTAACACGCTTGTAATCGTTTTCAGATGCTGCAAGGTGTGCGCTCGTGTCGAGGGAGAGCCGTGCGGTGGCCTGTTTGGATTTTCCGGAAGTTGCGCCGACGGTTTGCAATGCGTTATCAAGAATTTGCTGCCCAACACGCGGGAGGTGGACGAGGGAGTCTGTACAAGTAAGCGGAATCCCGGATTTATTCGCAGACTTATTAATGTCATTCGAATCCATTATCTCTTTGTGTCGGGTCAATGGCGGCCGATAGAGGTAGTATAGAAAGAATAATGGCGCGTGAATTTATGAAGCGATTTGAATCTCTTTGCGAGCCGATCTTTAGAATCACGCCGATTAATAACGCGTGACGCGTCGTGGAACCTTTATCGATCGATTTTTATCCCGATACTCTCTTTTCGTCTCTTTTCCTTCCCTTATTTTCCACGCTCTAACGATGAGTCTATAATTTCACGTACGAGATCGGTCCATCGAGAAGGTGCGCAAGGTAGGTCCGGATTCGCGTGTAACGTCGGCCGAACGAATGACCTCGGCACGGTGCTTTTGTCCAAAGTAACAGACGCGATTAATCAGAAACGATCGAAATTCTCGTAGACTACGCGTTGACGAATGATGGTCGAACGCGGGGGAGGAGAGGAAGAAGAAGAAGAAGAAGAAGAAGAAGAAGCACTCGTGTACCGATCGCGTTGAAACGACGTTAACGAGGACAGCCTTTTGCGGTCGTGATTATCGACACGGGGAGGTAATAATAGTATTCCGCCAGGGACGCGTAACAACGCGTGGAAAAATTGACAGACACATTATTTCTGCACGCGCGTGCTGAAAAACGATACAAATTTATTTGCTAATGGTATCGCCACGAATGTCGCGTAAACGTTTGCAACGTGGTGGAAAGAACGCTCGTGAAAATTGTCTTCGTAGAAACAGTTGGCCGTTCATCGAGTGCTCGATAATGTCGAGTTTTCGAATTCCGAATTTTTTCGTGCACGGTCGGCCGATCGCGCGTTAGGTGTATGCGTTTGCCGGCTAATGGCTAAAATCGACGATCGTACCGAAGAAGTTAAACGCTGTTCAGGTACATCTCGTAAAGTCAATCAATATCGCTCGATTCTCCTCAAACTTTCGGAGAGACGATTCTTTTGTAAGTTCTATAAACGCTTCTCGTAGTTCCCGGTTTTCGACGAGTATCCCCCTCAAGGGCAGCAGGATGGTGCCGATAGCAAGAATCGATTTCGAGTAAAACGAACATTTACAAATCGCGTTAGATTTGTCTGTCTCTACTCCTCTTCCGTCACGGTACACCTTCCCCGAATCATGTTCCTTCCCGTTTCTTCGTTGATTTATATTTTAGCTGTTTGCCGATTAACAGCTGTGCACACCCACCAACGATACACGAGCTTTATCTCGTTTTCATGGAACTCTGCCAGAGCCAGTCATCCTTTCTTTCCACTTTACCTTTTATTTCTTCTCTAAGCTCCGACCTACTGTCCCTTCCTTCAAAGTCTCTAACTTTCGACTTTGGACCAAAGTCGAGTCGAGACTGTGTGCACCAGAGAGATAGGGACGGGTCTGCTCCAGCCGCGAATTTAATCGAACAGTTTTTCCGCTTCTCCCGCGATCCCGCGTCGTCGTTACTTGGTCGAAAATCTCGCGATAATGGGGAAAAAGTTTGATAAAGACGAAGCAATGGAAAAGCAGACGAAGAAACGGGAAACGAAACGGAACGTTGAATTTGTTTCGAGAAAGAAGAACGAGGAGCGCGTCGTTTTAGGGATTTCGACGTTGAAAATCGCCCGGTATTATCACGAGATATACGTTACTGCCGTGACCGTAATTTCGAAATTTTATACAACGAATGGCCCGCGAGGTGCACACGCTTTCGTAGCTTTGCCTGGAGAAGCGTGTTCCTGTCTTTCGAATGGTATGTACCGTGTTCCAACATAGCGCGTAACAGGGAGAATAGCGAGAACAAAGCAATGACCCGTTTAGGATTCCGGATTTTATTAACACTTTCGCGCGAGTGAATGTAACGTGACCACCGTTGCAAATGGCAACGAGCCAATTCCATGCGACAACGGCTCCAATTTTTTCAGGGCTTTATGCTTTAGGCTGAATGCTATCGGTAATCTTGTAAACTGACAGGTGCTTCGACACGAAATCGTGGATAGCTGTGGATCGCGTTAACGTTCCTCGATAGGAAGCATAGAGATCTCGTCGTGTCATCTACTCGCCTCTTCGCGCCTATTTCTTTCTCCCGCGTGCGATATGAAAATCTCACTCACATTTCTCATCCTCTTTCTCACCGCCAAGTTTTATTTGGAATTTTATCATCATCGTGTTCTAATCTCGTAATCTCGTGGACGGAAATCGCGTTCGTATCTTTCGTTTGATCGGTGTTTGATCGGTGTTTGCCGGCGTCGCACCTAATCTCGTAACTGGACGGAAATCGCGTTCGTATCTTTCGTTTGATCGGTGTTTGATCGGTGTTTGCCGGCGTCGCGAATCGGATCCGATATCGCCGAGCCGTTTGGCCAAGCAGCGCGCGATCGTTCGTGAAAAGTAAATTCGCTGATTTTTAATTTCCAAGTGGCATAATTGGAAACTCGTTGAAAGAGTTTCGAGGTGAAAGAAAATATAGGGGCGGTTCTGCTCGAAATCTCTTTTCCTTCGATAGAACGCTCTTCAGACTCGAGATCCGAGAGCTTACGAACGCTTCGATACTAATTACTCGCACCATCTTCCGGTTATTATCCTAAAGTGGCAGGTAATTGAGTTACCGTGATTCAATATCCCTCGTGTCGGGAATCGTGACTGCCTTCTCTTTTCCACGCGATACGTATTTCATTTATCCGATTACTCCGAGAAAACGCGGCCGAAGAATTTGTCGTTCCTCGATATCCGATATTTTCGCTTATTCTTTTTTCGTTGCGTTTGCTAATTCTTTCTCTTCCTCTTTATCCTTTTCCACACACGTCCGATTCGTGTTTCGCATCGCGCGGTAATTCCCTCGAAACGGCTGATCGCGGCAGATTCGCTCGCTGCGCGTTTAACAGAAGAAATAGATTAACGTCGAGAGCAACGCGAATCAGTTTTCACGAGGATTCAAGACGGCTGCTGCGAGATTCGAAAGTTTGGTCGGGAAACGTTTAAGAAAGGAGCTGCGCACACTCTGGTCTCGAATATGCATACCTCCGTTGAATTTAAACCGATGCATATGCACTGGTACTTGACGTAGAAGCTGGGGTACTCAGTATTCATGGAATATCGTTGCTCGAACGCAAAAGGTCGTGACGAGGAGGGGAATAGCGGGAGGAGAACAAATTAGTTTAGGTCCTTTATATTTGCATTACCGTGCTTCCATTTAAAAAAAAAAAAAAAAAACCGCTACCACGGCCACGCACACGTCGTAAAACTCCGACTTAGGTTTCGCGGTTCGTAAACTACATCGGTAATTACCTTTCGTTATCGTTTCGCAATCCTCGACAGGCATTGCCCAGCTCCGACCAAGATATCCCCGATATCGCGTAAGAAATTCTGCGCGTACTCGAAATTTCGAATCTCGCATAGCTACCTCGTACCTATTTATCGCTTGTTTGCAGCAAACTACGCGATGCTCCTATCTCGCGTATCATTTTTTCCCCTACGCAGAAGGTCGCGAATTAATTACGTCGAACGCGCATTCGTTTCGTCCATTAACGGACATATCCTTCGCTCGAGTGGGAAAAAACGCTGCTGGATATAATGACGCGCATGCACGTCGAGTACACGCGTATCGCGTGTAAGCTCTACTCACGGACGATTACACTTATAAATCGAATAATATCGGACATATCGCATCCGCGCGGTTCAACATGCCTACCGATACTCCAACCAGATAGGATCGATGTTTATTACATCGATTTGTATAACGCGCAACTCAATTAACCACCGTGATTTACTTTGGCGATCCGTATGCGCGTTTCGCGCGATACGTCAGTTTATTTCGCGCGTACCGAACACCACCCGTCTTCTAATTCCGATCCGTTATCGTCTCTGATATTTTCTACCGTCAACCTTTTTCCCCGTTCTTCCCCGCGTTACACCCTTATCTCGCGAATCGAGATGTCCCCGCGTACGAAAGGAACGGAGACAGTAGCGGAAACGCGTAATTACCATGATCGTTATTCCATCGAGAGACGAAACGAAAATCGAGACCCGACTACGTTCGGGGGTTCGCGAACGGGCTGCACGATACCTAGCCGCCTCGTATAATCCATCGATGCGGTAGCTATGCGGTGTAGGACATTAGGGTAATTCCGCTCGACGTTCATCCCCGGATCGGGGAGAGCAAAGTAAAACGCGACGTTTACCCGGGATAGGTATGATCCATCGACAAAGGGCGTGTTATCCGAAATATCGAGAAGCCTGGAGTGGTATCGAGGGGTTTGGAACGGAAGAAAAATGGTTAAGACCGGGGTTGGACTCGGGGTGAGCGAACAAACGGCAAGGTGTAAAGGGAAGGCGATCATTATCTCGCGATAGGACGCGTTGTGGTCCATTGAAAGGAGAACAAGGCAGTCTGGACGATCTCGACATGGCTGAGGGAGGAGGAAGAAAAGAAGGAGAAACACAAGAAGGTGGGAGATATCTGAGCATTTACGGGCCATTTCCTCGCCGTTGCTCATAATGACGTTATTGCTTTTCGGAGGTGGGTCGGAGTTTGGTCGAAGGTTGGTTCGAGGTTGGCGGCTAAAACCGTATCTGAATTCGTTAACCACGGACATTATCGGTTTTCGCTAGACGTACCGGAAATGTAAATTCGTCGGAATTAGACGGTACGCGCGACAAATATAGCCTTCCTCTTTGCTGCAACGCGACGTCGCGAAGAAAGGTCTTCGGGTCATCGGGATCCGAGGCTCGTTTCCGTGCCATACCCATTTCGCCACTCTCTTTTCACCGATACGAGTTTAACGTACGAATGCCGCCGCGAATGCAGGTAGATTTATGTTTTTAAACCACGTCGCATCCGCCG